AAGTTTTATCAATGTTTCTTTTACAAATGTGGGTGCTCTTGTATTTGGGGCATAGATGTTCAGGATTGTGATGTCTTCCTGGTGGAATTTTCCCTTGATGAGTATGAAGTGTCCTTCCCCATCTCTTTTTATTAATTTTGGTTGAAAGTCTATTTTATCAGATATTAGAATGGCTACTCCCGCTTGCTTCTTGGGTCCATTTGCTTGGAAAGTCGTCTTCCAACCCTTTACCCTCAGGTAATGTCTATCTTTGTGTCTTAGGTGTGTTTCTTGTATGCAACAGATTGCTGGGTTTTATTTATGTATCCATTCTGTTAGTTTGTGTCTTTTTATTGGAGAGTTGAGTCCATTGATGTTGAGACAGATTAATGACCAGTGGCTGTTAGATCCTTTGATATTGATGTTGGCTGTGGTCATAATGTTGTGTGCTTGGTTGCTTTTTGTTTTACTGTAGTGAGGTTAATTATTTCCTGTGTTTTCTTGGGTTGTATTTTTCCTTCTAGTGTCTTCTGTAACATTGGATTTGTGTGTAGGTATTGTTGAAATTTGTTTTTGTCATTGAATATCTTTTTTTCTCCATCTATGAGGACTGAGAATTTTGCTGGGTATAGTAGCCTGGGCTGACATCTGTGTTCTCTTAGGGTCTGCATGATATCCATCCAGGCCCTTCTGGCTTTCATAGTCTCTGTTGAGAAGTCAGGTGTGGTTCTGATAGGTTTGCCATTATATGTTACTTGGCCTTTTTCCCCTGCAGCTTTTAGTATTTTTTCTTTGTTCTGTATACTTACTGTTTTGATTATTATGTGGCAGGAGGATTTTCTTTTCTGGTCTAATTTATTGGGTGTTTTGTAGGCCTCTTGTATTCTTATTGGCCTCTCCTTTGAGTTGGGGAGATTTTCTTCAATGATTTTGTTGAAAATATTTTCTGGGCTTGGAGGAGGGAATCTTCTTTTTCCTCTATTCCTATTATTCTTAGGTTTTGTCTGTTTATGTTGTCTTGAATTTCTTGGATGGTCTGTGTCAGGAATTTTTTAGATTTAACATTTTCTTTGACAGATACATCTATTTCTTCCATTGTATCTTCCACACCTGAGATTCTTTCTTCCATCTCTTGTAGTCTATTGGTTATGCTAACCTCTGTATTTCCTGTTTTCTTCCCTAAGTTCTTTCTCTCCACAATTTCCTCCATTTGTGTTTTCTTTAATTTTTTCAATTCTTCTTGAGCTGTTTTGGTGATTTCCTTCACCTGTCTGACTGTATTTTCCCATTTTTTCCTTCAATTCCTTCAGATGTTTGTTTGAACAATCCTCTGTTTCTTTTATTTCTTTCAGTGATTTAAGTATTTCCTCTCTAAAGGCCACAAACTGTTTGGTTGCAACTTCCTGTATTTCTTTATGGATGGCCATAATCTGTTTTTCTTTATCTTCTTCTATTTCTTTAGGATGGCCATAATTTGTTTGTTTTTATCTTCCTCTAGGTCTTTATGCAATTTATTTATTTCCTCTGTTATCCTCTTCATGAGTATAGATGTTAGGTCATCTTCTTGAATTTCATTTATGCTGGGGTGTCCAGGGCTGCTTGCCCCTGGATAACTGGGTTCTGGAGATGCCATATTGCTCTGTCTTTTGTTGGTTGAGCTTTTACACTTGCCTCTACCCATTGGGCTATCTTAGGTGTTGGGTGTTAGTTTCTGGTGGTTCCTGGAATCCTGTGGTGGAGAGAATCCTGTTGGCAGGAAGATGGTTTTTCCTGAAGGAAGCTTCCTCAGCTTTTTGGGTATGGTCACTGTATGGCCGGTGTTTTTCAGGAATTGCCACAGCTCACCTCAGGTGTACAGACCTGAGTGGTAACTGTGGTCTTTGTTAGTCAAGAAGGCTCTCCTCTCACCCAGAGAAGTCCTGGAGACAGCTGCCCTGCTGCTAGGTTTCTTGCTGTAACTTTAGTGAGCTGCTACTGTAACCTGGGTGTCCCGTGGTTTGGTCAGTTTTGTTTGGCATAACTGGTTGCCCTTTGGAGCTGTATATGGGGGTTGATCTCGGGGATCCCAGGATTCTGTAGGTCTGAGGTTGGGGCTCTATGATCAGTACCCAAGAGGTAATCTGTGGCAGGTGAGTACCACTCTCCTGGTAGCAGCAGGCTAGCTGGTGCACAGCAGGTCTCTGTGCTGGCAGTGCGCGTGCCCGCTGGTCTGTGGGGTCTTTTCCAGGGATATACTGGATGGCCTAATTTGGTTCCTGTTTACTCCCGATAGGGACTCTCAGTCTCTGTTGCCCTGGGGCGCACAGCTCTGTCTGTGCCGGAGAGCTGGGCGCGCAGCAAGTCTCTGTGCTCACAGCTGGAGCCCAGTTCAGTGCTGGTGGCTGGCACCCATCTTTCTGGGAGACATTTTCCGGGGAGACTGGGTGAACCAGGGTCAGTCCCATTTCCTTCCTTTCCTGTAGGGTTTCTCCCAACTGGGACTCCCAGTCTCTGGTGTTTTTGTGCCCACCGTTCAGCCTGGGAAGGTGATCAGGACACACAGCTGTGTGGCTCTGGTCTGGCGACCTAGTGCCTGCGCGACCCGGGATTTCTTCCGGGTTCTGGCTGGGTGACCTGAGAGTGAACCCAACTGGTTCCCATGCCGTGGGGGTTTCCTCTTACCTGGGAAACACGATCGCTGTTGTTTTAGGGCCCAGAGTTCAGTCTCTTGGTCGCTGTACAGGAAATGTCCTGCTCCTCAGATGCCCTGTTCTCCTGGCACCGCCATCTTGTCCCTCACTGCATCTTATTTTCTCATTGCATGTCCCCTCCCTCTCCTTTGGTGAATTACTGAGTCTAATTTGTGCTGTTTCTTGGAATGCTCACTGAATTTTTTTTTTTTTTGGCTTGACCTTTTTCAGGTCTTGTGCAGAAACAAAAATATTTAGAAGGCAGTTGGACAATATGTCCATTTAGCAAGATATCAGGAATTGGTTCTCCCCTAGGACATTTGCTCTACTGAACTATGGGCTTTTTGACTAGTTTTTGTTTTTGTTTTTGAGGATAAATAAGCAGGCTTCAAATGCAAGCCAGAAGTTGTCGGTTACTCCATGTCCTGTGTGCTACAACTGTACCAGTGGGAAAAGCCTAGTGATTAGTATTAGAACGTCTAAGGGTCACTGCTGAATAATACCATTCATGTTTTCACTCTCTCTCTATAGCACCTTCTAGTACTATGCAAACAAGCTGATAGGTGTAATAATATTCATGATCACCATCATCTTAATGTCATCATCGTTTGGAGTAATAGTAGTATTGTAACGCTCATGAGGGCTATGGCTTTGGTATCCCACAGATAAGTCTGAATCTTGATTCTTTTACTTGTTAAGTGAGCGAGCCTCAACCACTTAACTTTGTAATCACTGTCTTCTGTTTTAAAATTGCAATAAAAAGAACTAAAACATAATCACACCATTTCTCTCATCCCTGTTCTCTTTCTCAGCTCTCCCATGTTTCCCTCTTAGTTCTCCTCAAATTGACGGCCTCTTTTGGACCATTAGTGTTTTATATGTGTGTATATGTATATGCACAGTGTATAGCTACCACCTGCTGCTGTGTAGTGTGCTTTGTGTGTACATGATATATGATTTTAGGACTGACCATTTTGTGTGGAATAACCAGTTAGTGGGCTCATTTTGGGACAGACTAATTCTCCTTTTCTCAGCAATCATGGCTTAATTGTTGATAATGATGCCGTCTTGATAGAGTTCTTGGGACAATTAGCTGAGACAACACAGATACACAGCAACACAGATACACAGCATAAGCTTCTGGTATATGACAAGTATTCGGTGTACGGAAGCATATATTTCTGGTATAAGCAATAGAATTTGTTGGCACAATTTACTGACACTTGTTAAATCAAAGATATTATTTTATTCTCTTTAAGGCTTTATTTTTCCTATTCTGTAAACAGTTATATAATATGGATAAGAAGAAAGACCATAGGATTTAAATTTTCTCAAGATAAAAAACATAGTGACCCAAAACTGCTAGAGTTAATATTGAAGCCCATATCAACTTGGTTTGAATCTTTTTTTTTTTTTTTTTTCCTCCTGGAAACTCAATATTCAGGTATCTCAGTAAAATTTGTATGGTAGGAAAAGGTGCAACTATGACCACCAGGTGGCACTGGCTGAGGTCCCTTTTATGGGGAAATTGTTTGGCGCCTTCCTGGTGGATGAAACAGCAGAAGAGAACAGAGCCCAACAAGGAGGAGCCTCGTTTGCTCAGGAAGGGTCCTGTCTCACACAGCACATGCCAAACGTTGTGAGTGCAACACTCTTCACTATTTGGGAACTTATACCTTTAGGCACACAGCTTAACAAATGTAATCCATTTTAATATGTATTAAAATAAAATCTAGGCTAATAATTTTCATGATAACTCAGGGCTTAATCTGACTTTCATTAGTTAAAATATCTGTTAAATTCTTGAAACTTAAAAGTTAGGGTAGAAATGGTAGGTGGCCCTCTACCTGCCAAGTAGAGAAAGGGCATCTATTTCACTGCTCTTGAGGGAATGAAGCAGCTACATTTCATAGAGCCAGCTTGATTAGATCGTGGGAAGAATGCTGTCACTCAACATGCAGTTTATAACAGCACTTAAACTGTTACTTCTGGCCTGTCTGCTTTGGTCATTTACGAAGTTCTGAAGTTTGCAAACTGTGCTCTTCTGAGTCATGTAATTAATCTGTAACATTTTGTGTCGGTTGCGATTACAGAAACATGCTTGGCAGTTCTCATGCCCTGACCCTGTTTGGAACATTTGTAGTCTCAATTTGTCAACAAATTGTCCTCTAATATTAACAGAGAGTAAATATGAGATGAGAGCACACACTCTGACTTATCAAGGTTTTTCAAAAAAGTTACCAGGTTTTTCAGAGTTTAGGTCACATAAATCATTTTAACCCCTTCACTCAGCAATCATGAATTGCCACATATTTTAATAAATAAATGCAGAGGATAAATAATAACCGAATGCTCCCCTGGCAATGGGCGAAGAGACATTTTGGTGGTGGTGGTGTTCTTCTCTCAGTCAGGGGCAGAGCGGATGACAGCCCTCTGTTCATCCTAGCTTGATGCCCGGCTTGGTGGCCAAGGCTGTTTAACACCTAGGACACCTAAAAATCAAATCAAACCCAAATCAAATCAGGCAGCACAGCATGGGAGGAAGAAGACAGAGAGAGACCTGTGTTCTGCCATGCCACGTGGGGTGGGCGGGGAAAGGCACCCACAGACCTGTCCTCCATCCCAGGGCACAGGTGGGCCGTAGACACAGAGAGCCTCCCCTCCCACCATGCCGCACAGCGTGGAGGAGGAAGTCAGACAGAGATGTGGGGACCACCGTGCCCCCACAGAGCTGCTTCCCAGTGCCCGGCACAGAGGGCCATCTGCTTGCTGGAGAATGCCGCCCAGCGGCCGACAGCCACACGGCTAGCCGCGGTGGAAGCCACCACAATATGCTAAGTGGTGGGCAGGTGGGAGAGAAAGAGAAGCAGCTTTAGCAACATGAAGAGAGATGGACCTGGAGACTCAAGGGTGGAGAGGAGCAGCCCGTCCCCATCACCTGGGGCCATCGTGAGGTCCTTGCCCAAGTTGCCAGGGCCTTGTCAGAGTCCATGGCTACGCAGCAGCAGCGATCAGGGTCGATGTGTGTGGCTCATATCACCACTAGAGAATTTGAGACCGTCCCTGTTCAGGGCAGCCGTCAGGGACCACCTTGATGTCTAGAGGCTGTGCAGAACTGGCTTCGCCCCTGGCCGGCTGTGGTGCTTTGGAGGGCCGGCCCCATCTCTCATGGGCAACAGCACTTAGGAGATCAGGCCCTGCACCTCACCTGAGTAGCGCAGTAGAACTGGGCCTGGTGGTGGACGCGAGGGTGAGCTGGCCCTGAAGGAATGAAAGCAGGGGAGCTGGCTCAGCCCCTGTAGGCTGCCACACTTGGGAGAGTAGGCCGCATGCCTTGACTGGACAGCACTGTGGAGCTGACTCTGGAGGCATGGGTCCCTGTGAGCTGACCCTGGAGCATGAGAGTGGAAGAGCTGACCCTGCCTCCCGCCAATGGCTGCATTGAGTGGGAGCAGTGCCGGAGCTCGCCCTGGCACTGCTGATCAGGGAGAGCGGGGGCATGACCAGATCAGCAACCACCCAGGCCCAGATCTGTATCATTCGAAAATGGTTGGGCTGTGTGAAAGGGCCAGTCCTGCTGATCCAAAGCTGCCAGAGCTCCCTGACACAGGGCGACAACAGGGCGACCCGGAGGAGGCTGGGTGAGGGTCCAGCACTGATGGTGTCACAGAAGCTGGAGACCCTGATCCAGACCAACGACTCACTGCAGTGAGCATCTGCGAGTGAAGACGTGTGGACGGAGGGATGGACTGCGGGACACACTGGGACACACTACAGCTTCCACAACGAGATGCTTCCTATGCTTTGTTTCTGCTTGTGTGTGTGTGTTTTATTTGGAGGGAGCTGCAAGGGCGAAGGGCAGATAGAAAGAGATGAGAAGATGAGCAGGACTGGGGTACATAATGTGAAACTCCCAACAAATCAATAAAAAGTTTAAAAAATAAAAAAGAATTATTTTTACTGGCTTGACTATATTGGAAAAAAAGTTGGTGTTTTCGTGGGTGTCTTCCATGTCTATCAGTTGGTTATTTTGTAATTATGAATATGACATAGTTTTCAGAATAAAATAATAACCGAATGAAAGCTTCCTAATTACAGGGCACGTATCTGCTGGACACTAAACCATGGCTTACAAGGTGTCTGTTGCCCGTGAGATGTGTGATATGCTTGGAAAGTTGGGAGCACACACACGGAAACTGAAATAGTACAAGAACTGAGCGGTCAGACCTCTACCTAAGTTCCAGCTGGATGCTGCAAAAGGTAGGTGCTGCCAGCTTGGAGAGGGGTTTTCTGTAAGCAGCCGTGGTTCCGTGGAGTTTACACAGAGGCAGTGAGGGGTTGGTCCTCCCAGTGTGAGGGAGTTGCTGAAAGAAGAAGGCTCCAAGTTGGGAAGGAAACATGGTAAAGTGCAGTAAGCTGAGGCAATAAAGATGGGAGCCCGCCTTTGTGGTGCATGTGGGGGAGGCAAGTAAAGAAGGACACAGACTCCAGCCTTCCTGATCATGCACATTCCTCGGGGAGTCCTGCACCCCACAGGGTAAGTGGGGGACATCTCTTCTGGTGCCAATTTCAACTTGAAAATATGATGGATCTGTTAAAAAATGTCCCTGGCAGGTGAGTGAAATGTTTAATGTTAAACAGGGAAGCTTTGTGGAGTTGAAGAGACAGAATTCCAGAGTTGAAGTGGCCTGTCCAGGGTCACCTAACTGTCAAACGACAGCTCCAGAGGGGTGGATTGTGGGGCAGGTCGGTCATGCTCACGCGATTTTTTCCCCCCTCACTGTAGCTCTGTCATTGTTTCCATTTATGTTGTCTGACCATTTGTGACTTCCAGGACCATAACAAAGTCAACTGGAAAGACTTGTCGTTTCCCCCTCTCGTTGATAGCTCTTGCATAAAGATTAACATAGACAACCTCAGCGCTGACCTGAAGTTTGGAAATCACTTAGCTGCAATCTCCTGAAGGTTTTTTGATTCTTGTTGTCAAGAGACTTGAGACAAATCTAACACGCAGCGTAGAGGCCACTGTTAGGAAGTCTACATTGTTCAGACCTAGCATGTGGGTTTCTGAGAAGAAACACCTGATCCACGTGACGGGGATGTGTACAGACAATTAAACACTTTTCTGGGCCCTGAAAAGCAGCCCCTCTCTCTTCAATAGCTACATGATTGAAAAAGGAGCCTAGACCGTCACGTGGGCGGGCTGGATTGTTATTTGTCCTGGGAGAGACCCCTGAGGAGATCGTCAGGATGCTCCATTGACAGGGTGAATTTAGGGACTGAACTAAATTTAGAGCAAAGGACTAAGAATTGCTAAATTCTTCTTAGACTCTAGAAGCTACGAGTGGGTTTAGTGTTCAACTTCAGATGGATCAGAGTTTTCTCCCACACATCTGCGGTATCATTCCTGGGGGACTGAGGCCACCCTTGACCCCGGAACACTCTTAAGAAGAGAGGAGAGCAAGATGATGTGTGATGTTTGGGTCTTGATGCCGGTGATTTAAGTGACAGCTCATGGTGCCAGCTCAGGCAGTATTTTGCCAAAGAAATGCGGGGTGGGTTACCTTACTCAAAACTGCACCATGGACCCCGTGAGTGAGAACGGCCCCTCACCTTCTCACTCCTCTTCCACGGAAATCTCAGCTTTCGAATCCTATCATACAAACGACTGTGGAGGATCTCAAAAGAGAGTAGTACATCCCCACCGTTGCTGTAACAGATCACCACACCTTCGGTAATTGGAAACGACCCACTCATTTTCTCATAATCTGCAGATTAGAAGTCATTGTAGGTAGCAGAGCGATGCCCCCACCCAAAGCCGCAGAGACAACCCGCAGCTGCCAAAGGTTGCCTGCAGGTCTTGGCTTGAAGGCTCGCTCTTTGTCTTCAAAGCTCTCTCTGCCTTCTGGTTCTTTCTGTCTCTCCAGCACCTCCGACTCCGCCCTCTTCAGGGAAGACCTTTGTGCCGCCTCGCTGTGGGCCTGCTGGGTCATCGGGCACAACCTCCCCATCTCAGGGCCCTTCATTTAAGCCACAGCCACCGAGTCCTAGCTGCCGTGTGTGGCAAAACGTCTCCAGGTTCTGAGGTTGCGAACACGGACAGCGTGTGAGCATGCACATGCATGAGTGTGTGTGTGTGTACTCTAGTGTGTGTGTGTATGTGTGCATTATCCCTTGGTCACAACATGAAGCCTGCCATTCTCTCTCTGTGCGTATGTGCGTGCGCTTGTATGTTTATTGTGTAGGCATTGGTGTGGACATGTGCATGAATGCATGTGGGCATATGTACATGTAGAGGCCAGAGGTTGACATCCAGTGTTCCTTTCTGATTATTCTCCATCTTGTCTTTTCAGGCATGGCCACTCACGAAACCTGGAGCTTCACTGACTTGGCTGGTTGATCAATGAATTCCAGGGATCTTCACACCTCTTTCCTCCAATCAGGGATCATGACCCACGCTGTTCTACTTGACCTGTGTGTAAGAATCTGGACTCCATCTTCATGCTTGCTTGTCAAGCACCTTCCCCAGTAAGCCATCTCCTTATCCCCAACAGACCTTCCTACTCTAGATCACTGCAATGTGGCTTCGCTTGCAAATAGCTTCCCTGGTTGTGGATAACTCTTCCCTATCATTGGCACAAAGCAACATCAGGACCACAGATGCTTCCTGTGTGCCTGTGGACACTACTGATCTCCCAGACTGAGGTGGCGATGTTTTATTATCTCCTGTGTTACTGATGGGACCACCACCAGGAAGGCCAATAACGCCGAGATGTTTCAGCATTTTCTCCATGATCCTGCTCAGATCTGAGTCTCGGGGTGGAAGCCAGCAGACAGGCTGAGCTGAAAGTGCCCTGCGAACACCTGCATCACACCTCTAACACTGGTCCTCTGGTGCTGGACCTGCATTTTCTCTGTCTCTTTGTGGTCAGCCTGTCTCGGAAGGCTCCTCTGTCTCTCCCACACTGAGTCTCTGCTTCCAAGCTCAGCTATATCAGTCTCAGCATAAACAGAGCTGGGACTCAGGCTGCCCAACCACCCAAGCTTTCCTACGGGTTCCTGCCCGCGTGTGTACATTCCAGGCCTGAGAAAGAGTCAGAGCTGCTTTTAATTGTTCATAAATTGCTGCCTAGTGTGGGCTGAGCATCTGGATTTGATTGGAGGTCATTTGTCCTAACTTAGCACTTCCTATTAGTTTTGTGAAGGATTACTATTGAAATACATAATTTGGCAACTTCAGATTTTACAAGCTATGCTGAGTGCCATACCACGTAGGGCTGGATCGGATTTATTACTGTTGAAAAGGAAATCTTTGATTGTGTTCCTTCCTGCTGCTATTGATTCATTTTGTACCAGAGTGTGTGAAATCGGAGCTACAAAAAAAATATTTGTTCCCCTCTCCTGATCTGGTTGGAATAGATGTTTTTACTTCATGAAATAAACAGGGAGGACATCTCATGAATTTTGATGTATTTTTAATGAGTTTTGATTCTCGT